GAGTATTAAATTGGCATAAACCTTAAATTAAAAGCGGATATAAAAATGTCTTGTATCGTACAGCGTTTGGTGAACATTTCATGTAGATCTTATAAGGCTAATAGACTCTTTTCTTCAGGGATTACTATTCTATGCATTCTTCTACAGTGGTTTGTCGCTTGATAAAATCACTTTTGAGTAGACTGTAGATACGTTAGCTAGAAAATAAACAAATTTCCCTGCGTAAACCCACATTTCTGTCAATTCTAATTGGATATTATCAGTTGCTGAGAATATAAATAGGCTTCCAATACTGTATTCACTGAATTTGAATGTAGAAAAAGTGAACGATAGGTTTGAGCTAATCCCACGTTGATTTGACTATCTTGTTTTCTAAGTTAGATAATTGAAACTAAATTTCTTTTATTCGTTCACATTCATGAGCCTTTAGAATCTTTTCCTTCACTTACTGGCTTTGACGGATTTTTTTTTCGAATTTTTAATACCAGTGCTTGTTAAATATTTGGTATCAAAGATACCTGATTCACTTCCAGGAACGTTCTTTTACATGGCTTATCATAGTTGATTTCGTTTGCGTACAGAATTTTCGTGCTGCATAATGTATCGGTGCAAATATCTGTTTTTCTTTATTACATTCACCGCGCGTTGCCTTCTAATTCATGATAGGTAAAATAAGAGATGCAGAATGGTATTCAATTAATTTTCTCTTTTATTATATGGTGCAGTTTGAAACATTTTGTAGTCAATTTTATATGAGATAGTCCACCACCAGATCACACAAATTCATCATTCCGAAAACTTATGATTTCTTTTTATTCGTTTTACAATAGAAGACCCTTCAAAAGTTAGGCAAGTAATCAAATGTTGAAATTCTCTCATCAACACTTGTTGAAAGTCTTGGAAGCCATATTCTTAATAAAATTGGTAATAACTCAGAAACTTCTGTAAAGCTCATCAATCGCTGAAGTTTCAGCTAGAAATATTTGATTATTTTCCAAATGTTGCCGCTTCTGACGACGAAATAAAAATAAAAAATAACGTTTCCCATGTTGTACTATCAAAAAAGAGGATGCTCTCGTGTTAATGATATTGAATTCTTATGTAGTGTTAGGCAAACTTTTCCAAGCTGTTCTGATAAGTCGGCGCGTTCGTTGATATGTTTTTGTGCTTTTCGATATCTAACAAATGTCGATAGCTCTAATATAGTTATTCGCTTTTATTACGGAAGAGGGGACTGTCGCAGATGGAGAACGATTTTTTTCATCGCTTGACAGCTTGAAAATATTTAATGGAATATAGCTATTGTGCTTGAGTAGACATCAATATCCAATTAGAAAAAGCTTCCCATTTTGATATGTCTTCCACATTTATGACTCCAGAACTTTACAGTTATGGTCCTACTACTTAGAGCATGGTATTGTAAGCAAAAAGCAAAAATGTGGGGGAAATCTCGATTTCTAGCTATGAAATGTATGCTAAGGAGTAGGCCTAGAACAGTTCCATATCAGTTCCGCTCTTGAGAACTGTTCAAACAGTTCTTTGATAGAAAGTGATCTGTATCTAACAGTTCTTTCAAAAGAACTGATCGGTGTCTACCAGTTCCTCGAGGGAAAAAAGGAGAGGGTGTGGGTGGGGTGTGTGGGTGTTGGTGTGGGGTGTGGGTGTGGGTGGGTGTGGGGTGTGGGTGTGCCAGTGTGTGAGTGTGGGTGTGTGGGTGTGGTTGTGGGTGTGGGTGGGTGTGGGTGTGTATGAATGTTGAGAGAAGACTTATACCCTCACCCACCAACACCCACACCCACGCCCTGGTAACGGTAACGGCGGTAACTTTTTCGTTGCCCGTTACCTGGTAACTGGTAACGGTAACGGTTTGGTAACGGTAACTTCCCACTCAATCGTTGACGGGTATCCTAGGGTCCTACTATAGGGGGGTACCCTTGTGTCCTGAAGTGCTTTTCGAAAAAACTTTTTTTTGCAAAAAAATCTGATTGGCCAATTTTTTACGTTGCTCAAATCTGATTGTTCCATTTTTCGATCAATCAGATTTTATTTTCATAAAAACATTTTTTTGAAGAAAAAATTTTTTTTCGAAAATTTCTTTTTTAATATGGAAACAGATTTATTGAGAAAAATTAACTTTTCATGAAAACACTTGAAATTTTATGAAAAATTTTTTTTTTCGAAAAGCACTTGAGGGCCCAAGAGTACCCCAATATAGTAGGACCTGAGTACCCATGGCTACCCCCTATAGTAGGACTTGAGGACCCAAGAGTACTCCCGTGTAGTAGGACTTGTGGACCCATGAGTACCCCTCTATAGTAGGGCTTGAGGACCCTAGGGTTCGGGGCTGTGGACAGGGGACAGTTACCAAACCGTTACCGTTACTCGGTAACTGGTAACGTAACGGTAACTTCCCTCCCCTATCGGTGTGTGCGTGTGAGTGTGGGTGTGGGTGTGTGTGGGTATTGGTGTGAATGCTGAGAAAAGACTTATACACACACCCATCCACACCCACACCTCGCACCCACACCCAGTTCTCGAAAAAGAACTGGTAGGAAAGCTGATTTTCGAATTTCGAATTTCGACTTGAAACTTTGCACATAGATAGGTCTCAATGAGAATAGTTTGCTGTGAAAGTTTCAAATCTTTTGGTTATTCCTATGCTAAGATACAACTATAATAAAAGTGTGCTGTTATATTGCCTATATACATCGACGAATTCCGATACTCTTATTTCAGACTAGGAGCAATCAAAAGATTTTAAAGTTTCACAGTAAACTATTCTCATTGAGGCCTATCTATGTGGAAAGTTTCAAGTCGACATTCGAAAATCAGTTTTCCTCGTGTTCCTGAGGGTGACCATGGCTTTCTATTTAAAACCACCGTAAAAATGCAATATCTCGGCAGCAATAAGCTAGTAGCACGAACCCTTTTCAGGGTATTCATCGCTCATTAGGACCTACATTATGCACACACTCCTGACTCGAAAGCGATTTGACAGTTGGGGTACTTTCCTCGTGAGGACTGTCCTAGGCCTACTAAGGAGTAAAAAGATGCATATCGACACTTTCCTGAATTCTTTACTCTTACACTTTCTCTTTACATTTTTAATCTCAAAAACACTATTTATGACTCCGAAAGTCAAATTTCATGGTTTTAGGTCTGTATTTATGCTGCCAGTCTATATAAAGCCTCATCTATATCAAGATATACTATGCAGGTGTTGAGGTGGGCGCCAATATGTGTGCCAGTTGGAGGTGTGAATTGTAGCTGACCCTCACATAATATCGAGTCATTGTACCGAGCTGTACACTTTTTATTTACTCTTTTAGTTCTAATCAATGCGACAACAGTATCTCATGTGACGACCCTTAGAGACGGTAGTTCAGAACAAAACTCTGGCAGCACCGAAGGTGGCAATTTATTGTGGATCTATGGGACTGGTTTTGCACAGAATGCTTTCAGTGTATTGCCATCAACAGCAACGTCGAATGCTGTACAGTTAACTCAAGGAAATAATGTCTACGACTGTCGAATGCACATCGAAAAAGTGACCGATACTCAGTTGACTTGCTACACTCCACCATTGCCTCCTAGCGAATATTTAGTTCGAGTTATAGTTCAAGGCAGTTTGATCCCATTGTCTCAGTACAGTTATCCAAATTTGAGTACCTTTATATCAAGCCCAAGAAACACACCCCGTATCACTAAAATATTACCGGCATCAGGCTTACCACAAAGATTGGTTACATTATATGGAGATTTCAAATCCCAATGTTACTTACGTGATTTTGAGGGTTGCTCAGGAGCAAATGTACCAGTCATTTCTCGGTAAGAGACGTTTGATTCGACTATTCTTGCTATGCTTCCGACAATAATTTATCTAGAATATACGTCGGTGGTCAATTGTGCAATCTGATCGATACAGACAGTGCTGGCTAGTAAGTTTATCTGTATGTAATAATATCAAACTATGATCTTTTGATGTGTAGCTATTCCAATCTGAATTATACCTATCTTCAATGTCGTTTTGAGAGCAGCGAAGTCGGTAAGCAAGTAACATTTCTTTTGTTTGCATAATAGCCATGTAAAATGTGTCTCGAGCGTCTTTTAATCGGCAGGTGTATTCAATGTGACCATGCTTATTACAAACGAATACGGTCGTTCGTCGGCTGATACAAGCCTATATCGAATGTCCGGCACTGGTCAACTACACAATTTTGAAACCTATGCTAGTTTGTATCTTCTTTCTATCTATCGCTTTGGTTATTTGAATTATTTTTCATTCTTACTAAATAGTTCTAACGAATATCTCGTCCAACAGTGGAAGTGTAGAAGGTGGCACATTCTTGACAATTAACGGTGCCTATTTCAGTACGAGTAGTCGGTATCCATTGGTCGTCAATGTTGGTGGTGAACCATGCACTATCCTTAGTAGCAATCTGACTACAATTCAATGTAAAACATCGATGATACCTGCCAACAGCGGAAACCATTATCATGGTAAGTTAATTGTTCAATGAAGTTAATTATTTCAGTCATTTATAGGGGGTCGTGGTCTGCATATCTATTACCAATCTGGTTCTATTGATGTAGTATGTTAGATACTAATTGTTGTTCTGTTATTTGCTCCTCTACTTGTTTTCTTTGATATTGTCTAGAATAATTTGGGCAATGCAAGTCCTCCAATACCCAGTGTCAATGCCACTCGAACATGGACTGGAGAAGCCTCTTTTTCTTCTGATTTTTCATCTTCCACTACAGTATGGTTCATAGGATTTCTGCGCGTACCAATGACGGCCACATTCAAATTTCAATTGGAAACCAATGGCCACGCTCTGTTGTACCTAAGCAGTGATGAAAATCCAGATAACAAAGTTAAAATTGCAACTCATGTGGCCACGGAGTCACGCAGAATTATGCTACGAAATAATACTAAGTGAGTGAAAGAAAAATTAACAGAAGATCACTCATCTTCATGGGTAATTTCATATAGCTATTACATGTTCTGTGTGGGTTCCATCTACGACGGTGGTAATTTTCGTTTATCAATGAAAGCAGCAATGCAACAATCCAATTCGAGGATATGGAGTAGTTCTCTAGGTACGAGTGAAATTCAACAAATTACTATTGGTGGTGATGTTACCAGTGAACATCAGGTAATTTAAAGCTTGCAATCAGAAGTGTCTCCAGCTAATGAGGTTACGAAGCATTTTATAGTTAATATAATACTCGAAATCAAGAAAATGAAGTATCTGAAACAGATAAATACTTTAAAAAGAAAATAAACTTTTGAATCGGTCAAGCTTCATACGTCATCGAATAATAATGAATTCAATGTATCTATTATTTTTAGAAGTCATCGTTCAAGTATGGAGATACCATTAAATACGAAGTTGAAGTGAAACCGTTGTTTTTCTTCTCAGATAGACTGGACTTCCGATCATATTCCTTGTAGTAGAATTTTTATAGATGAAAGACTTGCTCTCATTCCTGAAGAAAATTTTTGACATTTCTGAGTTAGATCTTACGAGGGAAGGTCTCCAACTGACAGACGCCGTTCGACTTCATATTATAGCTACAAGGTAGGTCTCTATAAGACTAAGAAAACCCTGAAAGGATTCATGCCCATGGCCTATCGGTGAAGAGTTATGACCGTTTTACTGAATTTTGGGCATGCGGCAAGGAATTTCCAAAAAACCCAATTAAAGAATTTCGACCTGAAAATTTGCCCATAGATAGGTCTAGTAGCCATTAGAATTGCTTGAAAGTTTCAGCTAAAACGAATGTTCCTTTCTCGAGATATTGAATGGTCAAGTAAACTCGATTTTTGTGGTCTGTCTGTGAAAACTGACTATTTTTTGACAATTCAATATCTCGAGAAAGGAACATTTCTTTTGGTTGAAACTTTCAAGCAATTCTAATGACTATTAGACCTATCTATGGGCAAATTTTCAGGTCGAAATTCTTTAATTCGATTTTTTTGGAAATCCCTTGCCGCATGCCCAAAATTCAGTAAAACGGTCATAACTCTTCACCGATAAGCTATGGGCACGAATCCTTTCAGCGTTTTCTTAGTCTCATAGAGACCTACCTTGTAACCATAATATGGAAACGAACGGCGTCCGTCAGTTGGGGACCTTCCCTCGTTAGACAGATCTGGCGTTAATTAGTCGCCCTGATGTTTTCTACAAAAAAGTTGATTTGAAAACAATTGTTACTAAAGGATTTGTATTTTAATAAGTTTTTTTTTCTTAAAGATAATAACACTAGTGCAATAACTAAAATGACATTGACAACTTATTTTATCGGATTTTCAATTTTCCTCTTCAGAAATTTGTTCATCTATTTCTGGTAGTGCATTACTTAACATTGGTAGTGAACTTCGTTGGGGTTAAGAGATTTAAAGGTTTTGAATTTATTCTTAACGGACACGCGATAAAGTCTTAATAGAAGCATTGCTTGCATTTTAATCAAGAGGAAATGACACATGATTCTGATTGAGAGTGTGCAATTCTCACCAGTTTGGAATTTGTATTGGTCGTATTCTATTTTTTGTAGGTTCCTTGTCTAGTTTAGCTTGACTTTTTGAGATGATTCTAACGCTGATGCCTTGAATAGCTATTAATAAAAATTGATAAAGTGCATCACATTTTTTTCTGCTGTTCTCGGCAATATCTGAAGTAGGACTGAGAGTGAGTCCCGGTGCGGTTTTTCATTCCTGTTTGATAAATCTTCAAGAAAATGTCATAGACTTCTTCAGATTCAGGTTCTTGAAGAATTCTTTCTGACTTTCTTAAGAAAGCTGTTAGCACAATCCCTTGCGGGATTAAAAATATGAAACACGATGGATCTATTGTTATTAGTTAAATGGAAATCGTTTTGTTCCATTTCTTTGCGATACATTTGTAGGCTAACTCTTTATTTAATGCTTTAGAACTGTAGTTTCTCTGTCACGGTCTCTCACGGATACCAAGCTCTGTCTGTCACGGTCTGTGATGGCCCCCAAAGCCTGTCTGTCACGGCCTGGGGGGGGGGGGGGGGGTTCCAAATTTCTACCCCTAAACACTTTAACACTCCTTTCAGATCATGCTTCACAAAATGAATAAAACAGTGTAGATAATTGTTCATAAATTGCTGCTCGATAGGAAAATTATGTTTGAGTTGAAATCAATCGCATTCATTGAGATCGATCTGAATTACATAGCTAAGAATATTCTACCTCACTGCTTTCAAGTATCAACAGAAAAATTCTCTCACGGTTGAATTTTGCCATTGACTAATGAGTCACAATTACTTTCCATTTTGTTAGCTAGCTATTACTCGAGCCTTCTCTTATGCTCTGAATTTTTAGATTTGCAGAAATGATACTTTAATCGATCCATTTTTCTTTACAGCGCATTGTCTACATGACGAATTCGTCGATCGATGGAGTAGCTGAAGTTCAAGATGTAGAAGCTGTTTTTGAAATATTTCAAATTGGATTCGAAGGAGCTTACACAGGTTCGTGCTTGCACATGCTATTCTTTTTTTAATTAAATCTTTGAGTCATCATTGATATGTAGTACTGCTCGATGGTCCACCTCAACCAGAAGTTGTCCAAGAAGCTCTCAATGATTTACCGACCATCTTCCCTTTATCCGTTACGGTCGCACTCGTAGGCACCGCATACAGAGTCACATTTCCGATCGAAATGGGTGACGTTCCACTACTTACTGTGATATCAACAGCATTTAGTCGTCCACAGACCGCTACAGAAATCGTACAAGGTATCGCATCTGGTTTAAAGATAGCCTTTCGACTCAATGGAGCAATAACAAACTACCTGAATTTTCGAGAGGATGATATTAGTGAAACGACACTAGAAACCGAGTTTATGAACTTGTTCAATATTCGATGTCCGCCATCATTGAACAATCAACAAGCAGCACCGTCTATTGTGTATATTAATGAATTTGAAATATCAAGCCCATATGATGAAACATTCATTATTACAGACATGGCTTTCTGTGGTCGTAGAGCACTCACAAACTCAAATGAGTATCTTGTTAATGGAAATACATTGACTGCCGAATATATGTGCTTTGCTTATAAGATTACCACGACGGATCCGATTTTTATGAATTTTCAAGTTCAGAGTGATGAAGATCCTCCAGTTATCGAACATATATTGCTGACTTTAAGGAACGATTCACGTTGGCATTACAAATGCATTAATCTACGTGAAATGCTCGAGCAGTATTCTATGGCGTACTTGACTGTTACTTCGTTTTTGATCAGTCGAGTCTATCTCGACTACTATGTCCCATCAAGTGTCATGATTGATACGGTCACATTACGTGACTCGTTACCCGTTGGATACGAAGAAGACAATATGATTATGTCAACGGATCAATCATCTACAGGTCTATGTAGATTTCCATTCGTTTACAACGGCCAAAATCGCTCGTCATGCATACTTGATGAAGACTATATGCCCATTTGCGGTTTAACTCCGAATACAAAATTTTATTGCCAAAATTCATCAATCGAAGGCGTTCGACGACTCTTTCCGAAATATCAGTTGCTCGATAATTCATTCCAAATAACACTTTCAGCAATGAGCCATACTATTGATATATCCTTTCGATATACGGCATGCATGTCACCATCATTGATCGAAGTGTTACCTCCAACTGTAAGTAAATGATGGTATTTAGCTAACCATTATGAAACCATTTCTTTAGGTTGGCCAAGTGATCTCAATCACAAATGCATCAAAGCCAGTCGATGGACAGTATTCTATAATGTTCAACGGACAACAATATTATCCAATTCCTGCAAAAATAACTGGATCAAATTTGGCCAATCTACTTCAATCATTTTCCGATTTTGGCTATGTAGCTGTAGCTCGTGCAGGAGAGTGTGCTCAGTATTCATACACGATCCAATGGTTAACCAATGGTGAACAACCACTTATCTCAATCGCAAATTCATCTGAAGTACGACCAATTGATGCTCCAATGACCGTTTTGTCAATACGAAGTGGTAGTACTATTAGTGTTTTCTATAATCTTCCGAATGATATACTACGAACCTATCATATGACTCCTCAGGTGAGGTTATTTCTATTCTTATGATTTTTTTATTTCCTCGTGTTCAAAGGTGGAGGTGCTTGTCGGTGGCTATCCGTCTTATTGTTCGAACGAGAATAATAACTGTGAATTTCAATGGTCGATCGATCACACACCTACAATTATATCCGTTGAACAGAATGGAACAATGGTGACTATTCATGGTACTGGATTTAGTGCCGAACTCGAAGCAAATATGATTTCAATCGGTAAGACTGGTTCATGCGACGTCCTATCAGCCAATACGACATCAATCATCTGCACCATTGTCAACGCACCATCTGGTCGACAGATTTTACAACTGAACATTGCGGACAAAGGTCTTGCGTCAAGTAACGAAAGTTTCATAGTAGACGTGCCACTGTTAATCACTTCATTTGATCCAGCTGGAGGGGATGCAGGTGGAGGCTACCAATTGACAATCTTCGGAAGTGGATTTTCATCGAGTGCCTTAATTACGCTTGGCGAAAACTTATGTGGAAATTTGACTGTTGTTAACTTTACTTCAATCAAATGTACTGTTCCTCCAAGTGGTAGTATGAGTTTGATTCGGGTGACGGTAATCGTCATTGATGGCTCAAATTTGGCTACTGCATCTGGACAATTTACGTACAATACGACGAATACGCCGACTATTTATGCTATTGATCCGACTTTTGTGACGACGCTTGGTGGGCTATTGAATATTAGTGGCACCGGATTCGGCAACGATGACGTTTTAGTTTTTATAGATACAAGCAGTGCTCGTGTTTTAGACTCATCAAACAATCATATTCTAGTGAATTTGAGTATACTACCACCTGGACTTTATCCGATCACGGTTCGTACTTCAATGGGTTTTGCACGACCTCTTTTTCATATTGAATACAGATTCTATGTACAAGAAGTGTCACCTCAAATTGGTTCGGCCTATGGTGGCACCGATGTTTATGTTCAAGGAGCAGGCTTTGAAAATGGAACACGTATTCAACTCCGTGATCGAAACAATCGTCTCTTTCCTTGCAACATTGTTTCAATTCAATCGAATCAAATTCATTGTCAAACAGCGTCTACAGCTCGTCAAGTTACAATCACATCGAATGGTATTCATCCGACCTTTGGCTTTGGTTATGCTTGGTTTCCTAGTCGTGAAACAGTGCAACAAGGAACCGTTGTTACCTGGTATTGGAGTTCAGCCGAACTTCGCTCACCAGTTTATTACAAGATACAACAAGTAGCAAATGCGTACAGTACTGAACTAGTACCAAACGGATTTGATTCTGGTTCAGCAACATCATCTGGTAAGCAACATCTAATCAAAATTACATGCATGTCCTTATCTCGATATTATAGGTTCATTTTCTTATCAATTTGATAGAGTGGGTACTTTCTATTATTTGGCACCGAATATTGATCAATCTAGTGGATATGCAATGCGAGGTGTCATTGATGTCGTAGCCTTAGAACCTGAGATAATGACTGTGGAAACCATTTGGGATAAGTTTACTGGTAAGTTTCGACAGGCATTTCTTGAAACGTGAAGTCATTTTCATTCGTTAGCTCAAACATGTGCATTTCCATTTACTTTTGATTCTGTCAACTACACGGCGTGCACTTTAGTGAACGATACACAATCGTGGTGTTCACCAACATCAATCTATACCGGTCAAAGGCTCTATTGCAGTCCAACAGGTATGCTCATTGTTCGATTAGAAGACGAACAAAATATTTCATTATATGGAAATATCGTAACCAGGGTGTTAAGTTTAGATGTGGGTGTGGGTAAAGCCAACACTCACATCCACATCCACACCCACATCCTACACTTTCCATCGACTTAACATTGTTGTTTTTAGTTTCGGTGCCTACTTCATCATGTTCTTGGAACATAATTAATGTGAGTTCCTGTGCTGAATCAGTAACAACTTTGTCCAATCCGACGCAGTTTCTGTCTACACTTTGCACAGTCGAATCTATTACTGAAATATCGCCTATGGAAGGTCCTGTTGGAACCCAAGTGACAATAACAGGTCTTGTTTTTTCTAGTCACTTTTTCTAATCAAATAAATTTACTACAGGCACAAACTTTACCGGGAATATTTGTGATTATGATATTCAAATCGGATCATCGTATCATTGTCCCATAATAAATATGTCGTCGAATCAACTTATATGCCAGATCACAGTGAACTCCATGTTAGATGCCACAACGAACCAAATTGTTCGTGTTGCCCGTTATCGTCAAGGTTATCTAGCCAGTCGCAATCCATTGCAATTTAGATTTCTATCGTCGATCTCAAACATCTCTCCTATGATGGGTAGAATTTCTGAGATGAGCTAAAGAAAAAAAAAACTGACTGTTTCTTTGTGTACCTATTTGTTTCAGGTTCGATTTATGGTGGCACTCGTGTGACAATCGATGGCGACGGGTTCATATCAGATGACACGCGAGTGTTTATCTTAGGTGCGAATTATACACACGTAGGATCTGTATCCTATTCGCGAATCATCTTCACTACTCCACCAGAGTTAACATATGTGAATTTTAATTTAACCGTATTGGTTTATGTTCGCACAAGTCGATCAGTGTGTCTTCTAGCCTCGTGTCATTTCTCTTGGGCAACACTTATTACGCCGTACTTTGACTTAGTGAGTCCGTCAGTAATTCGTGGCAACACAAATTTAACGATCACAGGGCGAAATTTGCTTAATAGTGGGAACACAGCTGCTGATGCTCATGTGAGCATCAATAGCAATCTTTGCAATGTCACAGAAATGAGGAATGAATCGATCAATTGCACAGTGATGAGTGTCGAAGCTGGTCAACATCGTATTATTGGATCAATTGATGGTCTGCTATTGTATACTACAGATTATGCTTGAATGTTTACTTTGTTTATTTCAGGTGTTGGAAATATTTATTCATCGTTAACTATCACATCAGAGGCCTTCGTATCGGCAATAGTACCACTGGTCAGTAGCGTCTACGGTGGTGCGATACTGACGATCATTGGTCATGGATTTTCGAGCAACATCAGCCAAATTCAAATCACAATTGGTTCAAATTTGTGTCCTGTAGTCCAAGCAATGAATAGCCAGATTCAATGCATTATCCCTGCTCGAGGTAACAGTTCCGATGCAGCTACTATTCTTATCATTTCACATCAAGTTTCCTTTCCATCCTCATTCACATTGAATTACAATGAGACAATTACACCCAACATCACTTCTGTTAGTCCAACATTTGGCAATAGGTCTCAAGTTTTGGTCATTACTGGAGATAACTTTGTTGGCAATGGGCAAACGAGTGTCACAGTGGGAAATACTGCATGTATTGTCAGTAATTATTCAATAGGATCAATTATATGTACGGTTGGTTTGAATTTATCAGCCGGTCATCATGCAGTCACTGTTCATGTGGACGAAATTGGAAATTCCAATTCGGATATTTTCTACACGCACGATCTCTTCATCACGAGTGCTACACCATCAGAAGGAGGTTATGGTGGTGGTCTATCAGTGATGATTCTTGGCTATGGATTCAACGGAACTGATGTCACTATCAACATATGTAATCAGTCTTGTTTATCAGTAGAAATCGTGTCCAATGTTCAACTCATCTGTGTTACGCCTGAAGTTTCGATGGTCGAAGTGAATAGTTCGTGCAATTTAACAGTTACTGTCAATGGTATCAGTAAAAATACACGATTCACCTACAAAGCTAACTTGACTGCAATAGTAACATCAGTGAGTCCAACTCGAGGTGGAACAGGTGGTGGAACGAGGATTACTATCATTGGAAACAATTTTCCGTGAGTTTTTTAAGCCTAACACGTCACTTATATGACTATTTTTTAACATCTAGAACTTCTGCAAATGTCGTAATGGTGACTATTGCTGAGTCGCCATGTTCATTGCAAACAGTCACAACAACAAATATTACATGTGAGACTGGTAGTTATCAATATAAAAGTGTACGAGCCCAAGTCAAGGTATTCGTCAATGGTAGTGGCTATGCAATCAGTTCAGTTGATTTTCAATACATTGATCTTTGGTCGAGTCCATGGACATGGGGTGGTAATGAGCCACCAGAAGCTGGCACACTTGTGGTAATTGAAAACTATGTGACTATCTATTTGGATATCAAGACACCTATTCTGAAAGTACTTGTTATTGACAATTCCACATTAATTTTCGACGATTCACAAGATGTTGCTTTGAATGTTGAGTATATTGTCATCGTCAACGGTGGTCATCTTCAAGTCGGAACAGAATCAACTCCATTTCAACATCGTGGTATTATCACTATGTATGGACACTTGCGATCGATCGAATTACCTATTTGTAAGTGACATTCATTTTGTAGTATTTCTGAAGATTCGTTTTCGATTAGTTGGTGCCAAAGTGTTGGCTTTGCGTGAGGGAACAGTGGACATGCACGGAATGCCTACTGTTCGAACTTGGACACAACTTGGAACGACAGCTAGTAATGGTTCAACAACAATTACTCTTCTTCAACCTATCGATTGGAATGTTGATAGTCAAATCGTTATCGCAACTACGGGTGATCGTTTCAGTCAGAAAGAAAGTGAAATCCGGCGAATTGTGAATATCTCATCGGATGGACTTACATTAACCTTGGACATACCATTGAAATATACCCATTTGGGCGTTATACAAACGTTGAATTCAACAACCATCGAAATTCGCGGTGAAGTTGGTCTTCTTTCGCACAATGTCGTCTTCCAAGGTTTCTATAGTCGACAATTAATATTTTATGTGACGGAATGATTTTTTTATTCAGGTTCAATTACCGAAACATGGGATGAAACCATAGAAGAATGTCCGGCTGGATTCAATCCGGGTAAGATAGTTTTCAATAAGATGATCAGAACACTGAATATATCAGCAACAGTCACGGATTGTCTGTTGACAGTAAAGTTGATTTGACTAATCCTAACTCATAGCCAAAAAGAAATCATTGATAATTAGTCATCGGCAGTTTTATTCTAGTATAGTATTTGGGAAAGACCCATACTATAATATCTAATTTTATTAATAAAACTGAAATATGATGTCGATTGATATTGTTCTGCGAAGTTCTGTTGAAAATAATGAAAATTCGAAATATTCAGAATACAGAAGTAATGAAAACTCATTTTGTTTTCAGACGAATTTGCCGTACAAACATGTTTTCTTGGTCGATATGGGCAGGAGATCGGTTCTGATCAGTTTGGTGCGATGATCATGGCTAGTCAGGGCAGCAAGACTACGAATGGCACTCAACGAGTAGTTGTTCGTTTGTCCAATGTCGAAGTAGACAATCGCCTGCTTTTCTGATTTAGATTGCTTTAGTTTTCTCATGTAGATCTTCAACGTTGGCCAGGCATTTCGTCTCGATCGTTATGCAATACATTTTCAGAGAAATGGTAATATGAGCGAATCCTTTGTGAAATCATCTTCTATTCACCTATCATTCAACCGAGCTGTTCACATTCAGGCTAGTGATTATATCACTATTGAGAACAATGTTATATATAATATCATGTATGAATTTGATGCTGAGTAAGATCCGTAATCCTTTGTGTCTAACATATGAATAGGGGTAATGCAATGTTTCTCTCGGATGGCATTGAAGTCGGGCATATTTTTCGAGGAAATCTGGCCATTTTTGTTCGAGCCAGTTCCAGTCTTCTCAATGAAGATCTTACGCCAGCTGCTTTTTGGGTAAGATAATAACCTAAAGATACTTAGGTGAAGATTTCTTTGAATAGTTAACCAACCCTAATAATATTGTCGAATTCAATGCAGTAGCTGGTATCACCCATTATGGTTATTGGTATCGATTGAGTAATAAAACTGAAGGACTTTCACTTCTCACAAATCCCAACTATTGTCCTAATCGACAGCCTTTCGGTCGCTTCTACAATAATAGTGTACACAGTACAGGTCGATTTGGAGTCTGGATCTATCCTGAATATGCTCCCACTATCTCAGGTGATTGTAACGATATGCAACCGTCACAAGCGATACTCGAAGGCTTGGTATCGTGGAAAAATAATAAAGGCATTGAGCTAGTCATGACTCGCACAACACAAATCAAGAATGCAGTAGTCTTTGACAATGCGGATATAGGTGTCGCCTACATCACAGCTGTTGGCCATCAAGAAACCAATCCACCGTATCTGCGCGCAACATTCTATGATACTGATAATGGCTCATCAGTGATTGATAGTATAATTATCGGCGATGCGGGTATCTCCTCCACGCCAATTGTACCATCCACTGCAGGTCTTGTAGGTAAGTAAGGCGAATTTGCTGACTAGTTGTTCCAGTCACGTACAATTTTTAGCATAGTTTTTCATTTTCATTATAAAAATACACTAGATGTTAGTTGAGAAAACAACATATGCGTTCTCAATCACATCGAATTTTCTGACAGTTCCTTTTAAAGAAATCATGGTTAAGACAACTGACACATATCTATGAAACGAACACCCTCTTGTGTACCTATCAAAACAATGTGCGGACATGGAATATGAAAGCAAATACATCTCTCACGAACAAATGAACTTAAAACAGATAGCACTGGAGTGTATGCCATGCGAGAAATCTTATTGACAAACTAGGTAGTAACCTCTACTGTTGTTTTAGTCAGATGCTCGTGTCAAAGATTACCCATCTTAAAAATTTATGAGCACTTCCTTTCAGTCATTTTTATTGCTTAACATATTTACATTTACTCATATTGCTATGATCTATTGTATCATTTTTGGTTGATAGTCATGTGGGACCGTGGTCTTCATGTTCGCAATGTTGCTTTTATCAATTTTCCAAGCAATGAGACACGTGCTATAGTCGGACCGATCATCCTTGGCCGATGTACTGATCGTTGTGGAGGTACGAATGCAACTGATCGTTCTATGTACTATAGTAATTTTTATCATTCCTTAATACAGGTTGGCTAACAAAGTTCTCCAACATGTCCTTTATAAATGTTTCTATTCGTGGCAAATTTCGATGGGAATACGATGCTCTATATCATGATGAGGATGGTACTTTGGGTGGACAATCCGATTCAGTAATAATGGCACCCGATGGCATCACAAATGCATCATCGACATGCACACTAGTACCCAACTTCGAAAATGCTATTCAATGTCCTCTATCAGAAGGTTCATGGTTACGGTTTTCACTCCGTCATCCGTTGAGAAGAAATCTAGGTCAACTATTCATCTCTGATGAAGAGAATTCGTCAACTATTGTACCATGGCTTCAAGAGCAGTTAACCTATCCAGAGGGATACTTAGTTGTATTGAGAGCAAACCAAACGTACACGCTCCAGTTTGAAATGAATCCAGTAAGATTACATTGTCGTTTCATTTTGCGCAATTTTTTCGTTTCCGATTCGGCACTAATTAGCATACGAATGACCTCAGATATGTCGGCGTTGTCTATGATGTGGCTCCTGGTGATTATTTGATCATTCAACATCCGATGAACGTTGAACCAGCTAGAGCGGATACCGTAGTCGATCGGTCTATGATTCCAGGAGTATCGATGCCACTATCCCAATGGAATACTACTAATGGTGACTGGTATTATGACAGCATCACGTCTCTGTTCTCGTACATCGGTAAGTGGAAGTGTTGAATAATGTATTTATTTCATACAGGCATTTATTCAGTTGAAAACCCATCAACAGCTAATACAAGCATCGATATAGAAATATCATTTCAAGTTTACACATGTCCGTGCAACAACTGTGGATGCCCAACAACTACAACTACAACGGCCACCACAGCTACAACAACAACGGAGACAACGACAACGACTACATCAGCTACAACGACAACGACAACATCAGCTACAACAACTACGACAACATCAGCTACAACAACCACAGCTACAACAGCCACAACAACCACAGCTACAACAGCCACTACAACTACAGAGACAACAGCCACATCTACTATTTATCTACCCCCAATACAACCCGTTGATGAATTACCATCAAATCCGCAACTGGTGAGAGTTCACTTATAATTTCCTTACCTTTTACTTTAATATATTTGAAAAAAAAATCTTAGGAGAATATTCTCAAACGTTATCTTTCGTATCATTCTGCCTTCATATGTCGATTTCACTTCATGAACTAGAACGTTGTCTCTAGATGCGGTGGTGCAGAATGTAGAGATGTTTTTTTTTCAATTTCAATGTCCCTAGTTGATAAATCAAGAGTTGTGAACTTCATTCGAGTTTACGAAAAAGTGGCATTTATCAGATGTTGATGCACTCGTCATCAGACTGAAGAACGACATAATATAGTGTGATGGAATATCTACACAGGCATATCAAAATTATATGTCTGATGATGATCAAAAGATGTATCACAGGAGGAAAAGTTCAGTTTCTTTTCTTTTAATCTGATGACTTCAAATCTAATCAAAAAGTATTAGTCAAAAAAGTTAAAACATGTCCAATAATGGAAAAACAAAACAAAAAAGCAAAATCTTGGTGATAGGGACACGTGTACGAAATAAATAAATACTTCTTCTAGTTTTTTGATAAACATAACTTGATGAATAGACTATGAATTATAATACAACGATCAGCAACTTCATATATCTTTACTGTCCTTATTGGTTGCACAAAAGTCAATAAATGGATAGTTTGAGTGCGAGCTGTCTTTTCTTTCTGACAAAGGTGTACTTTTCATTAAAAGAAGGAAATGATCTTTCACAAGCCTAATCTAACCAGTGCAATGATTAATACTGAATAAGAAACAGCTCAATAGGCATTTGATACCTAGTTTCGATCTCATAAGGGCATGCCCGAGTAGAATCATTTTTCAGCTCAACTATTTTCAAACTCTATTTTGTATAAGCTAGGGAGTATTCCTGAATAAAATTACCTGTATATTTCTTGTAAAGCTCAGAAAAACACAAATCTTTAACCCTTGGAAATAACAATTATACGGACGTCATCAAATCTGAAAATAAATTTTAACCTGGTTAGATAAGGTATACCTTCCGTTTCACTGATTTTTAGGTATCCGTTAAGTGTGTTTAAACAAGCTTCGGCGAGGCTCAATGGTGTGAGGAAGCATAAAATTTTCCGCTTCATGAAATGATAAGAATATTAAGCCGATAAGCCGTATTCATCGCTTTTAAATAAGCAGATACTTGAACACATTTAAACTGCTTAATTTTGAATGAAGAGTTGATCTAGTCTTATATTTTTCAAGCCTACTTCTCGATTTCAAAACATTTTTTGTTTCATCTGTCTTTCTTTAGTGCCAAGCTCTCGACGTGAGATATTGGTCGATTGATTCTCACTGGACATTTGGACCACAAGACTATGCTAATTCGTGTAAGTTCACTCTTTATTTTTTATAGCTATTTATGACGAAAATCTATTGCAGTTGGTGCGAAGCCCGGAAGCAACAAAAATATCTTTGTTCCTCGTTGCATCTGGCTAATAATTGATTGTCCGCTTCCATCTATCCGGGCATTGAAAATTGAAGGTGTGGTTGAATTTCAACAGGCAAGATTCTCTGCTTTGCCAAATTTTTGCATGTTTTCTTGTAATTTTCGTTATTTTTAGGGAGGTAATTATGTAATGTATGTTGATAGCATCTTCATTAATGGTGGCCGATTGATTGCTGGTAAATATCTTAGCGCTGAAGAAATGGTAGTCATTTTTTGTGAATTTCTGACAGGTTTACCCAACGCTCCATTCAATGGTAGTGTCGATATTATTTTGAGATATACTGGTCCAGTTACTATGCAATTGCCTTGGAATTTCCCTGTGAAAGAGTCACGAACTATTGGCGTTCTGGGTGGCCTTGATTTACATGGTAGGTCACGTGGAATTACTTGGACACGTCTTGCTGTGACCGCTATGTCGGGTCAAACTGTCATAATCTTGCGCGAACCAGTCAGTTGGGTTGTCGGCGATGAAATTATCATAACAACCACAGATACAAGCATTTCTCACACTGAACGACATCGCATCATCAATATTGAAAATGCGACGATAATACATACTGAAGTACCATTAGCATATAGTCATCTCGTTATTCAACATGCATTAGCTAATGGACAAACGATTAGTGTGGCCGCTGCAGTTGGATTATTGACACGTAACATACGCGTAATTAATCAATACCAAGGATCTAGTCTATCTGGATTCCGAATTTTGATCACTGACTATCGAACAGATGTGTTACATATTTACTCCAATACCATGTACAATGCATACTATAAAGGTTATGCTCGATTATCGAATACGCAATTTATCGGCTTCGGACAGTTGAATGATGGTTATTATAGTGATCAGCAATCAGGTATTTATATAAATCATCTCGGTGATTATAATTCAAGCAGAGCTACTTTCATCGATGCTTGTTCGTTCGATGGTGGATTTAATGCAGCGTAAGTATGATGTAATTACTTACTTGTCTTTATAAATGTTCCATTTACAGTATTGGTATGCGGACCACGAATGGTATACCAATTACAAACAATGTTATATACAACACATATCGATCAGGCATTGTTGTGACTGGAATGAACAATGTCGTTCAAAATAATCTCGTCACAACTGTCTACTGGGTGGGTACAGGCCAAGATCCATCAGTTGCCCAATTTAGTTCGAATTATGATGGTGCAATTATGGCTCGTGATGCTATCAGTGTGAGATTGCAAGTTTGTATTGTTACCTTGAGTGCATTGTTCAATTTTCACAAGTGATCTCTTTTCTCCAATAGAATAATTTGGTTGCCGGCGTTGAACGTTTGGCCTATCGTATCCCTGGTGAATCATGTGGAGGTCAAGATATTTATATTCCACCGAATATAATCAATGAATATTCGAACAATGAAGCACATTCGGCCATGTCCGGCGTCAACCTTTGGCCGTCAGACAAAGGGTTTATATATGATCGAAGTAGGTGTTTCAAACAGTATTCAAATGTTCATGTTTTCTTTTCTTTATCTATTCTAGAATGCGTTCTAATCAAAGGATTCAAGTATGTATGAAAAGCGTTGCAAACATAAAACGCAGTTACTATACCTATAATTATATATAGAGAGTACACTATTGTTGTACAGATCGAGAAAATAGTAATATAGACAATATTTGAAATAGAATTGAAAAAAGTGTATTTGAATATTGACTGCAGCTAATGATTTGTTTTTTTTCGTACAAATACGTGTAAACATCAGACCGGGATGATTGAGGTACAGCGAAAAACACTCATTTGATAGTTCTGACGTTCATGTGCTTGATCTAGCACATGATGTAGAGTAACTCTCAAATAGGAAATCCTAGTGCACCACAGATTGAGCAACATGAGAAAAAAAACATTTACAATGTTGCTTTTGTTTCTGACAAATCAGCTGTATCTGGAAGATTGATAACAAACCATATACACAAACGATGAATGGAACTTTTCCTTCATGACTCATAACCTATATCTTCATACTGATGTAGTTCGTAAATTTAAGCTTCTGACACAGCATATAGATGTCATTATAGATATGTTTGGTCAGTATCATGGATGTTTAGAATATACCAAAGACAGGGCATGATCAGAAAAAAAACAAAAGCTTGCCAACTTTTACTTCAAATATTAACATGAAAGGTTCTATTTTTTTTCAAAAATAAATAGGATTTACAAGGCATGGTACTATGCTTTCTACATCAATACACCTCGCAATATTACCATTGATTCGTGTTCATCTATCGACAGTCACGTTGGCATTTTCACTTATGTGATTGGGCCATCGGGTAACGATGTTTTTCATTGATTTTCTTCTTCTAACTATTGAGTTCTCTTTGAACGATTAGCTGTAACACATGTGCCGGTTGCCAGTCGCGTCAATATTCGTTCTTCGCTAGTGGTCGGTTCGATTACAAGGGAAGATTGTGGAGATAGAATTAATCCAAATTCGATAAATATTCGATTATCACAAATTGCAATACCTGGCGTATCAGCAAACTCATCTTCTGGTAATGCTGGTGGTCGATCTGGCATAGTTTTTCCAACTATTTCAAGGAACAACTACATGCCCATTCGCTCGTGGACTGGAATTGGTATATATCCTTGTCGTAAGTTAACATCGAACATTATTAATCGATAGTTAAATGATGTTTTTGAATATTCTAGTCGATGGTCTGATGCTCATCACCAATACGACTCTTGCTTTCTTCAACAACACTTGTGGTCGACACGATGTAGCGATTCAAGTGTCACAGAGCAATGATGATGGACAATTTCCGATTGCAACAAATTCCATGTTTGTCTATAATATATCTCAAGAAAATCTTATTTTCAATGGCGAGCCAAACTTAGGTGTGGTAAATCCAAGCAGATGCGGCGGTAAGTCTAAGCTACGGACGAATTTGTTTGTTGAATAAATCATTGTTGCAGATATGGATTGTGATGGCCTGAAAAAGAATTTGATTGTCGATACGGATGGATCACTTTTCGGTCAGCCAGCAAGTGTCTTTTCGCAGGCTGAATCTCTGTGGGGTCAGTAATCAATGATATTTGAAGAAGAAAAAAAAATCATTGAAAACACCTTGCGTTTAGGTAGTCAACAGCATGGTATCGGAGATTTTCGTATTCCTCGAATAGCATTGACCAATTTGACCGGACACAGAATCAATATCAACTTAACTTATCCATATCGTGGGATCAGTCGCAGTAATTCCTGTTCTCTTCAATCATCGTGGGGAATGTACATATGCAATTCGAGTGCTGATTTTCGTATGTTGATCATCGAAAGTATGGATTCGGATACGGAAAAACGACGTCTTTCGCCTGTTGCTATCATGTCCAATAGTGGCTACATTGATCTCATCAATGGACCTCAAGATCAGAGCATCTGCAATGGTTATTCTTGTCGAAAGCGTATCTCAACATTCATGGCCATCGTTCAATCTGGGCAAACCTATCAAATCTTTTTCTCAAGTACTCCCCCTAGACATACACGTTTTCGCTTGCTCAATGCTGATTCTACAATAAAATGTGTTTTGGCTCTTCACTACGATTCATTACAACAAATCGATGTCTATGCCAACACGATGTACATACCGCCAACTAATAGAGATCTTCGAGCGCCTGGTCTCATGTTACTTGATCAACCAAATAATGTCACATTATTGTCACCACCTGGAAGCAACTACTTTGATAGGTTCGATTTTTTTTCTCTCACGATTTTCTCAATAATAAAATGAGACCAAATGATTTTTGACCAACAAAAGTAAAAAGCAAATCATTTTGGATACTTACAAGAGAGATTCTATGCATCAAGTATGTCTAAGCATTACAGTACAGTTGTTACACTTCTTGAAGACTTTTAGAAGAGCAGAGTAAAATTGATTCTGAGAACACTGTTGTTTATTTTATTTTATTATTTTTTTTTGTATCAAAGTCACCTTTCTCTCTAATGATTAAACGTTGAATGTGTTATTTCTTTTGTCCACAAATAGAACTTATCAAATGGCCTATTTTGCTATTGATGGTAGCACTATGATCGACATCAAAGTATCACCACTACTCATTCTCTCTTTTGGCTTCCCACCCATGGATCCAGAATCGTTTTACTCCGGCAATCTTGTTGCCAATTTGGCAGCTCTCTTGAATATCAGCCCAGACAAGATTCGGCGCGTTAACATTGTTTCAGCCTCGAATCAAACGTAAGAGTTTTATGTTTTTCTTTGGTTTTTACATTATTCTATCTTTCTTTCAATAGTCGTATTCGTCGTCAAGCATCGTCTGTTTTGTTACCCATAAAATTGCAGATTGAACTGCGGGATGAACCTCGCACCAGTTCGATTGCCTCGACTGGAATTCGAGCAGAAATTCTATCGAATATTGCTTCGACTATCATCAATCGTTATCAAGCAGGTGAATTACAAGTGGCATGGAGAAATCTCAATGTAACAAATGGTAGTTTCCCATCTGTCTTGAGTACACAAGAACCATTTGATAACTCATCAGTTGAACTGAGTATCATCAATCGACTTTTACTTGTCTTGCCACCGAGAGACTGCCGGCAGCAGAGTCCGTGTACGTTTCAACCAGTGCTCGTAGCATACGATGTAGCAGGAAATGTCATTCAAAAGTTAGGCTCAAACGAGCGACCATGGCAAGTGAAAGCTACTGTCGTAGGTCGGCCAAATCTAATTTTGCCGGGTGGTACAGCCAATTATTCTGATGGACAAACACAGTACATTCTATTCGGTCTTCCAGATATCGGTACTCAACAAGTTCAATTTACTCTGATTCAACCAGATGGTGTTAACAGGTATTGAGAAGCTATTCTTAATCATTTTGAATTCGACTCGTTCTTTTCAATAGTTCATTCTTAGCGACAACAAACCTGAGTGTTCAAGCTGCGTCTGTCTCTGTGACACAAGCAGTTCTAGCTGGTCAGCAAGTGAAAAATGTCTATGTTGTCAATGTCAATGAAACATTTAGTATCGCTGTCATGCCAGTTGATAGTGTTACTCAACTACGTCTCGGACAAATTCAATGGGGAAGTTGGCGATGGTCGGCCAATATCACCCTGATTAGTTTGCCGAAATTCAATCGCCACGGATCACTAGTCAAAAACAATTCATCAAGAACTAATATTGACCTCGTAGCAGGTACAGTTACAGTCACTAATTTGACCATCAATGCTACCGGTATGTATGTGCTGCAAATTCGATTGGTTTCTTCAAACAATGAACATATCATTGAGTTACCATCGAATGGCATTCTCGTTAAAGCAGATAGTGGTAAGTTCAGTGCTTATTGAAGACAACCGTTGATCATCATGTGTCTTCTTAAGATAATTTTATCACTGAAATCGATGCGATCTCAAGCAACTTCACATTTGCGGGCGACTTTGATGCACTCAATGCTAGCGGTGAACTTGAAATTATACGTGCAATGATCTACAATTATTTGATTAATCTTGGCATGCCTCTCATCAGTGATATCATTCTGGTGAAAGGTTTATAGAATTCAAAATTCAAAATTCAATATTTCTCGCACCTTTTTACTGTTTTAGGTAGTGTGGGCGCGATTGTTCAGGTCGACTCAGAAAATACAAATATATCAAAAGCAGTAACAAGCATGTTAGCGGATCCAAATGCCATACCGCGTTTAAGTCTTATAATGGTAAATATCAATGGTCGTTCGTACTCGCGCTCGTCTTCGTCGAGTAATGATGCAGCGAGTAATGCCGATAATTCGAATAGTAACACCTTAATTGTCGGTCTCGTGGTTGGTCTAGTTGGTGGTCTATTACTTGTAATCGGCGTCGTTTGGGGTTATAAAGCACGTGAACGAATGCTTACTCGTCATCGTCTTGGAGTAGGAGAAACCGATGAAGACAGACTGACAGGAATTGATGAAAATTGTGTCGCATCACCGAGACTTGATAAACCCATAAGTGTACCAAATTTGGAACCAATTGAGTTCTCTCGAGTGTCTACTATCCCACCGCCATCCAATGGAATGCATTCGACTCAACTCTTCAATCAAGCCGAACTGCAGTCGGCTGCATGTAATCTTAACTTGCATAATTTCAACAAAGCTGAGGAGTTAGTTCCATCGTCCGCAATAGAATTGATTGCATTCGATTGATAAAACTGAAGTTTTGTCATTGCTCTCGACCATAATTCATCTCTAGTTAGATTGCTTATCCTTTCTTGTCTGTTCTTATGCTACGTGTTGTATTTTTTGACTCTTTCCTTTTATCTTTTCGTTTTTCTTCTCTTTTCGTGCATCGCTCTCATAGAAAAGAAACTTCTTTGTTTTGAAATAAAATAAGTGACACGAAAATACAAAAGGGAATGAGAAAGTTATTAATGGAGGTGTAGTTAGATTTCACATATGTTTTTAAGTCCTCATCTTTTATCAGACTAAATTCCATAGTCTCTAAATTAAAGTGAAATTTGCCTTACTTTGCGTATATCCTCTACTCATAGCTTTTTGAGCCTTTTCAAAAGAAACCATGAGCACTCTTCTAATATGAAAATTCTCAACATGCTCTTTTGGCAAGGGGGAAACATGATACTTCATACTTCACGTAGTTTAAGGTACTTTAACAAACTTTAAGATACTTTAACCTGTTGACGGCGAAGCCCGTAAATTTACGGTTTCAAAATTTGAATAGGCTATTAAAGGAATTACTCACTAGTTCCAGCTATACTATATAAGAATAACTTGATGAAGCTCACTAGTGACATACTGTAGACACTAGGGGTATCTTTCGTAGGTACTATCATTGGTTCATATGGAACCAATCATTGTATTTAGCATTCGAGAATGTTTTGTTGAAGTAGTATAAATAGAAGGTACCTTTATCGTATAAATAACATACGACGATTCGACAAGATCATATTAAAGAAAAGACGATAACAATAATTGTTGTTACTAATCAACTTAAGGGAACACCCCCCTTTCCGGACCCGAAATTTTTAATTTTTTGCGTTTAGTATGTGGATATAGGTGCCCTCTATCTAATGAACACATTTTAAGAAGGCAAAACCACCTTTTTGTATGCGAAAAACTCGAAAAAAAAACTCAATTTTATGCTCAAAAAGCCAAAAAATGCAACTTTCTTTGCGTTTTTCTCAAAACCAGATTTTTAAACAAAAAATTGAAGTTTTCCTCCCTTTTCTCCTGAACAGTAAGACCGATTGGGCTCAAACTTTTTTTATGAGTGCTTCGGTCAAATCGGGATGCGTATTTTTTTTTCTCTTGAAAATATTGTGCCTATGAAGTTTGGCAGGTTTTACAAAATTAGCACCCTCCGAAAAAAAAGCTTTTTTTTTTAATGGTTTTTTGATAGTGCCTCCAGTGCTTTGCTTCCCCTGAGCCTCAGGAACAATATTTTTCAAAGAAAAAAAACACACCCAGATTTGTTCCTAGTTGCTCCAGAAAAAATTTCAGCCCAAAAGAAAGTATTATGGCCGTTTGCCGGGGGGGGGGGGGGGACTTGAGGTCATTTTTGACCATTGACCTTCTAAAATCTCCCTGAAGAAAGCATTTGAAAATTGTGAGTCTACGACAACTTTTATTCTACTCATCGAGATCTATCTACCCTGAAAGTTTCAAATATTTTCGCCTAACCGTTCTCGAGAAACATCGAAAGGAGGAGGGGGTCCCCTTAATACATTATAATCACTCGTTTTTCATATTTTGAAATTTTTTTCTGCATTATTATGGCATCTAGTAGTACATGTGATTCAGATGTTAGTGAAACTTTTACGAATTCTGAATTAGACAATGAATTAGATAGTGATTCTATTTACGATTTTGACAACGAATCGGATAGTGAGACGAAGAACAGGATACAGAAGGATCTCTCGAAGACAGAAGATGGAGAATGGAGTGGTTCGAGCCAAAAAGATTTACATTTGACTCAAGTGAAGCTGGTATCAATTCATATTTACCAAAAAATGATGAAAATAGACTATTAGATTATTTTTGTTTGATATTTGACCATAATCTGATGTAGAAAATTGTTGAGTGTGTGGGTGTGCGTTTGAATGTCTAACTTTCGTTCGTCGACAGCAACATCACCCCACACCCACACCCTTCTATCAATTCTATGAATGAGAAGTCTGAGACAAAACAAACTTGAAGATTTGTCATCATTCGAGTTCAGGAGATTTTTTCTTATATCTCAGAGACACATGACGCAAATCTGAGACTCAATATTTATAGAGTAGATGCTAGACTACAATTGGGCGAAATTGAAATTAAGAATATATTTAATAAAAAGAGCCTGTGAGAGTTTTATTAAAAATACTTGCAAAACCTTCAAAGTTGCTTGACTCTCAGCTATAGAAGTGCCCTCGGTCACCCTCTGTATAATAGTGAAAGTAGCAATTCAATAGCTTACAGCGTGACAGAATTATTAAACAAACAACCGAGCTCACTTTATTTTGAAATGAATAGTACTGTTTTAGGTTGAATAGTTCATAAATATAATACATTTCATTTGTTGATAATAATCTTCTCTAATTATCGGAGAAAAATAAAAATAATCACAATGATGAAGATAAATTTTTGAATTTTTTCATTCCTTTTATTTCTTACGATGTATAAATATATGCAAAACGAAATAAATAATCTTGCCAAACAGATTCTAGTTATTTTTTTGTAAAAATTTCCTTCTATTTTTTTTGACTTTCAGATGTAAGCTACATTAAATCATTAAGAAAACGTAATTTAATATCATATAATGAACATTATCAGCTGCATTCCGAAGTAATTTTGATATATTTTATTTCTAGATGTTAAAAAAATTCACCTATATTTTCAATTTTTCATTCAGCTCTTATTTCTAAACTTGATTTTTCAACAACTAATCCACTTTCTTTCTATCTCAAGTACCTCTTAATATGTAAAAATAATATTGAATATTTTTGATAAATATTGTAATTTAACTTCAAATCGAATATAATAATGTGCAATTGTAAAATCATTTGGATGAAATAAAACTAAATTAGTCAATAGTGAAAATAAATTGTATATTTGCATGACATTAGATTTTTCGTCTTTATATAATAATAATAAAATTTTTTTTCGAAGCGTAATGAATAATTGAAAAGTTATTTGATAAAATGTTCGTTTACTTTTTAATTTTGTTGAGAAAAGAATTCTAATAATTTCAATTCTTGAAAACATGTTCATCTAATACTAGCTAATAGTTTTAAAGTCATTCGAAAGAGTAGAAACGAAGAAAAAAAATTTGAAATGTAATTTTACTATAATCATTGCCGATGATCAAATGGAGGTACTATTCTTCTCATATGTTTAAACATAATATTTACCGTCATATCAAATACATCGTAGAAAAAAGAAATTTTCTATATTGGATTCCGAAAAAAAATCTTTTATTAATTTTTAGCTCTTGAACAAGACAAAAGTAATTAAGAATGGCTAGTAGTTCTTTTTTTTGATTGTCAGAATTATCTAGTATGTTTGAAACTGAAGTCATCTTGATGGAATCAAGTCT